CCCCTCCTCCGCTCTGGGACTCTGGGTGGGTTCGGGTCTCGCCGACTTTCCGTGTCTGCCCCTCCGCCGGGTCTCGGCGGGCCTCTCTGGCCCTGGCTCTGCACGTCTCTGCCTATCCGGATCTCTGGGTCTTTCTGTCTCTGTGCGATTCTTTGCGTCTCTCCGGGTCTCTGTCCCTCTGTCTGTCTTTCGCCGTCTCCTACTCCTCAGTCTGCGTGTGTGTTACTGGAAGGGTCTCTGCCTCTGTCCCTATGTATCTCTCCTCTCTTTCTGTCTCCCTTTCTCTCTCTGCCTCTTATTCCTCTCTCTGTTTCTGCATCTCTGAGTCTTTGCCTGTCTCTCCGTCTTTGTGGGAGTCTCTCGATCTCTCACTCTCTGTCCCTTTATCTTTCTTCTTTGAGACCCCTCTGCGTCCTTCCTCGGCCCTTGGGAAAGCCCAGCACCCTGGTTTGTTTTGCTTTTGCACCCAGGCAGGTGGGAGGGGTGAGGAGTGGAGGCAGATGTGGGGGTGGGGCTGGGAAATCCCTCCCTTCCCCCACCACTCCAGGCTCTGCCTTGCCCTGCTCTGCCCTGCCCTGCGAGGGGCTCCGAGTCCAGGGGACATGCCTGGCTATGTACCCAACTGCACTTTAAGTCATGGGGCCTCAGTTTCCCTAGCTATGAAATGGGGCCACTTTCCTCCCTGCAGTGGGCTCTGACTCCTTATGCCACTGGGGCCAGCTGACCTGACACTTTACACAAAGGTGGAGAGGGGCAGGAGGAGGCATGGGAAAGGGGCTGCCTCAGCCGCCACCTCCCCCTGCGCTAATGTGTGGTAATGCCAGGCCCCAGACTTGCTAATTCCTACAGGGGCCCGTTTTGGCCTCAGTTTTACCCTAGAGGCCTCTGATTGCAGAGCCTCTCACTGTTCTTTGGGATTAGAGTTGTTATCTCTACCATGACTGTGAGAAAATTGAGGTTTGGAGAGAGGTGGCAGAGAGGAGGTGATGACTTGCCCACAGTCACAGAGCCAGCTGGGACACTTTGTCTTAAGTTCCTCTGTAGGTGGGATTGGACTTTGGCCTTGAGGGGCAGGGATTTTTCAGAATGGCTACTGTAGTCATGAGCTGATGCCAGGTGCCCTGGGCTGTTGCAAGGAGACTCTTCTCACAGAGGAAGCTCTGGGACATCTCTTGGGGCAGGCAGGGTTTCCCTGCTGATGTCCCAGGTGGTGGCCGAGAACTTGCCAGGGCCCTGAGAAGGGCCTAGAGGGGAGGCTTGTGCTCGGGTTCCCCGCTGGTGCCTCTTCCTTTGCTGGGATAGCTCTGAGGTGAGCCCCCATGAGGTGAGAGGAGACTGGCTCTTTCCAGGAAGCTGGGGACAGGCACTGGGCTAAATGTCATTTCCTCATCCAGTGAGTTGGAGTGTGCAGTGGGGACCTGAGACAGATGGGGGTAAAGCTCAGCTCACTGTGGCTGGCCCTGGGGTGGCAGAAGCTGAGGGCCTTCCACTGAGGAGCAGAGGCCCTATTCCCTATTCTTAGTGAACAGCAGTGGTGGGAGGGAAGTGGTCTTGGGGAAGGGGCTTGGTCACCAAAGGGGGTGATAGGTGATCCCTAGGCAATAGGCCCCAGATTTCTGAATTGGCGGGGCAGGTAAGGGGTGAGCATGGATTTTGGACTCTGAGTCTTGGATTCGAATCTCAGCCCAGCCCAGGAGCTGTCTGTGGAATGTGTGCTCTGTGTTAATGTAACAGGTACTGTGTCAGCACCGTGCTCTGAGCGAGCTGACAGGCCAGCCCTGAGCCCCTACTGTGTGTGAGGTCTCAGGTGCTGGAGACACAGCAGTGACCAAAAGGGACAGATAGCTCTTCATTCAGGAGGCTGATGTACTGGTGGGGGAGAGAGTGAAAATCCAAACCAAAAAATAAAATATACAGTAGTTCTCTGTGGAGAAAAAGCAGGGTCGGGATGTGGGGAGTGTGGACTGAGATGGTGGCCCCAGTCTCCTGGAGGCCTCTCTGATAGTTGATTCCTGGGCCACTGGAAGGAGCCCGCCAAGGGAAGTGCTGGGGGAAGAGTGTTCCAGGCAGAGGGACAGTAGATGCAGAGGCCCTGAGGCGGGATGGCCTGGAATTGGAGGGGAGCAGAAGGGCATTGGGGCTGGAGGCACGTGAGCCAGGAGGAAGGTGGGAGATGAGGACAGAGAGGGGCCAGCTGGTGAGGACTTGGCTTTGACTCTGGGTGAGCTGAGGACCCTGGAGGGTTCTGAGCAGAGGGGTGGGGATCTGTGGTTTTCACAGGATCCTTCTGGCCTCTGCGTGGGGAACAGACCATAGTGAGCACTAGTTTGGGCGAGTGATGTGGGGCCTGGAGCAGCGTGGGGCCTGTAGAGTGTGAGAAGGGGGTGACTTCTGTGTGTGTTTTGAAAGCCGAGCTGATGGGGCTCAGAAATACATTAGATGTGGGGTGTGAGGGAAGCAGACGCTGGACAGATGACCTGAGCTTGTCTCCTCTAACTCCTCTGTAAAGCGGGGAGCCTGGTGGGGCCCACATCAAGGTTGTGGGGATTGGCGATACAGTTGTCATGTGTCCCATCTCTGGACACCAGGCCATAGCCAGGGCCTGGCAGTGCTGGTGGGAAGGGAAAGCCCCTCCAACACCTGCCAGCTTCCCAGCCAAATGGGCAACTCTGTCCTCATGTGGGTTCACTGTGCCCAGTGTCCAGGTGAGAAACTGAGGCTTGGNTAGACGCTGGACAGATGACCTGAGCTTGTCTCCTCTAACTCCTCTGTAAAGCGGGGAGCCTGGCGGGGCCCACATCAAGGTTGTGGGGATTGGCGATACAGTTGTCATGTGTCCCATCTCTGGACACCAGGCCATAGCCAGGGCCTGGCAGTGCTGGTGGGAAGGGAAAGCCCCTCCAACACCTGCCAGCTTCCCAGCCAAATGGGCAACTCTGTCCTCATGTGGGTTCACTGTGCCCAGTGTCCAGGTGAGAAACTGAGGCTTGGAGAGTACTGTGACTAGTGGGGCAGTGTAGTGTTACTGACATCCCTGATGCACAAGCCCCCTTACACCATCCCCACCACTGGTGAGGGTGAGGATCACATTGCCTAGCTGTTTCCAGGTGGGGACGTGGGATGACACCTTCAGGGGCTGAACGGGAAACTACCTCTCTCTGTTCCTCAGTGTCCCTGTCTCTGGGATCTGCCTACTTTGTCCTGGGTGTTGACCTGTCACCTGTGGCCTCCATATGGTGGCTGTGTTTGGAGAGCACCATGGACTTCACATGGGACCCCGGGTAGCTTGGCTCCTCACCAAGCTTCAGTCTGTGCCTCTAAGAATGGTGTGCAAAGCCCTCCACAGGGCAGGTTGGGTTCTCTTCAGTGCCTGCACCTCTGTTAGCCTTGTTTTCTCCGTTTGTTGTTAGAACCTTGTACGCAGTGGGGTGGACACTGGCGTTGATGGGAACGGGACTTGGCAAAGGTTGGGTTCTGTAGGCCACACACGTGGTAGAGTCATGGAAGAGCCCAGGGGCTCAGCCACCTCCCCACTGGCAGGAGGTGCAGTCACCCGTTTCATAGCTAAGGACACTGAAGTGCGAAGAGCACCCCAGTTTGTCAGTGGCAGGGCCTGGAGGATGCTTTGGGGTGGCCCTTGGGGTGGGGCAGGGGCAGCCGTGCCTGGGCGTGTGCCCCCCAGCAGCCTTTCCCTTCATTCAGACTGTGGAACATGGCTTCCCCAACCAGCCCAGCGCCCTCGCCTTCGACCCCGAGCTTCGCATCATGGCCATTGGCACCAGGTCTGGGGCTGTCAAGATGTATCCTTTGCAGCTGCGGTGGGCAGGGCCCAGCTCTGGAGTGAGAATGGGGGCTCTGATGGAGGCTGCAGTGGGTGCCGGAGTCTCATAGGAGGTTGGCATGGCCTCTGCGCCTGGGACAACACCTCACAGTGATGATGGCGTCCTTTTGCTGGGAGATGGGGTAATGGGGGTGTCAGTTTGCAGTGGCCACAGATGTCCCTTGCTACATTTCAGCCAGCCAGTTACCTAGGCGACCCTGCCTGGTCCCAGCAACTGGGACCAGGGAGGCTGGGCCAAGGGGCTGGGCCATAGTACCCGGTGAGAGTGGTGGGTGGGCTGGGGGCCCTGGTGAGTGAGTGCACACCTGTATGCGAATGTGCAGACATGTGTATTCAGCTGCAAGGGCTGGGGGCAGTGCCAGGCTCAGCATGGTGAGCGTGGCACAGCCCCCACCTGGATCCTGGCGGCCGCACAATGGGCCGTGTGAGCTGCACAAAGCGGGCATTTTCCCTGCAGGCACAGTGTGGGGGTGGGGGACAAGCAGGCAGCTGAATGCCTCCTTGCCTGCCCTGGAGAATCCCACCCTGACTTCTCTTGGGGAAACTGAGGTGCAGGATCTGGCTGGCAGCTGCTTGGTGAGGGGTGCCCACCCCTCCCCCTTCCTGTGTGGCCCTCTAGGTCTCAGTACCCTGGTTAGGGGCATCATTTGGCAAAACATGAGTCGGTGCCTGGAAAGTCGAGGGTGTGGAGTGGGGGGGTTTCCTCACCCTAGGGCTGGAGAAACTGGCCAGGCAGGGGTGGGCATCTGGGCCTGTAGTTAGTGAGTTTCCTGCCTACTCTTGGGTGCCCCCTCCTCTCCCATGGGCCCCTGAGGCACTAGTGGGGGTGAGGACAGTGCCCTGGCCCCCACCTGGCCTTAGGCACCCACCTCCTGGCCTGCTGTCCCCACCCCTCGTGGGTGCTGTGCTGACTCTACACATGTGTCCCTGCAGCCTTGTTCTCCATGTCACGAAGGTCAGTGTCTTGCGCCATGCTTTGCTGTTGTCAGGGTCTCTTGTGTACTCCTCATGGTCACAAAGGACCTGAAGTACAGACGAGGGGACTGAGCCTCAGAGAGGGCCAGAGCCTGGGGTCCTCCTTCCTTTCCCTCCTACCACCACAGCCTGGAGTCCCTGGGGTTGGGAAACTGAGGCTGGAGAAGGCCAGCCCTGGTCACCAGAAACTGCCCCTCCCCCTGCAAGGCCGGCCCCATCTCCTTGGCGACCCTGGTTCCCACCCAGCTGCTCCTGCCCCCTTTTGTCCCCTCCTCTGTGTTCCTCACCAGGCTCCTGCAGGGAATCCCAGCTCAAGCTCCAGGCAACAGCTCCTGTGCTGTCACCAGGGCAACGTTGCTGACCTCTCCCTAAACCATCCTTCCTGGGGCCCCCTCAGGCCCCGCCACCTACCATCCACCCTGGAGTTGCTGGGACTCTAGCACTGACACAGGCACGTCAAGCAGGTCGCCCAGCCTCCCCAAGTCTCTGCGTGTTCATCTATACAATGGGCAGGCTGGGGTCTGTCCTCCCTTGCGGTGGGGGCTGTTGGCTTCCTGCCCTGGGGAAAGGTTGGTTTCCTTGCCCACAGCTGGAGTTTGGCCTGGAGCTGTGGGAACAGGCGGCCTGGACTCTGCTCTGTCCTCAGATTTTGCTGTCCGGGCCTGGCCTGGCATTTCTGGCCCACCTGATCACAACCTAGCAAGTCTGGCTCTCAGAGCCCACACAGGCACACACAACAGGCTGAAAAGGCGTGGAGCCCCAGCTGTGCGTCAGGCCTGGGCTGAGGGTGCTGGGCTTGTTTTTGCTCTCATTTGATCTGCAATAGCTCTACGAGGTAGGAGTCACTTGCCACTTTACAGATGAGAAAGTGAAGGTCCCATGGCAGCTCTTGCCTTTCAGGAACTGAGTGGAGCCTGCACTCTGATCCTGGGGATACATTGGGGGTGCAGGACAGAAGCTTCTTCAGGGAGCTCCAATGGGCCTTGAAGGACTCCTGGAATGGGCAGGCCTGGGACAGGGCCCATCCAAATAGCCCTGGGGAAGGAGGCTTGGGTGTCTCCTGGGCCATGGTTTTCTGGTCTATGCCAGCTTGTTTCTGCCCTTGACCCGTCAACTGCAGCTATGGTGCACCCGGCGTGGAGTTTACGGGCCTACACCGTGATGCGGCCACTGTCACCCAGATGCACTTCCTGCCCGGCCAGGTGGGCCTCTGCTCCCACTGCCCAGCTTCTTGTGGCCCCAAAGTCTCCCACCCCCCAGGCTAGCCCAGTCTTGGTCTTTGCTCACCCCCCAGGGCCGCCTCCTGACCCTGCTGGACAACAGCAGCCTGCATCTGTGGGAGATTGTCCACCATAATGGCTGTGCCCACCTGGAGGAAGTTCTCGGCTTCCAGCTGCCCAGCCGGCCAGGCTTTGATGGTGCCAGGTACTACAGAACTTGGGCGGGGTCAGCTTCAGGGCAGGGAGACCCAGGGCAGGCTGTGGGAGCCGGCCGTGCACAGGCATGGTGGGGACGAAGCACGAGTGGGGGCTGCGGTTCAAGGCTCAGGGTACATGGCCAGGCCTGGGTCCCAGGCTGCTGCAGTGCACCCTGCTTGACTGAGGTGTACTCTGTGGACTTTTGAGGTGTACTCTGTGGACTTTTCAAGTTTGATGGGAGGTTCCGGCTGAGTTTGAGATGAGCAGGTAGTGTCTGTGCTACCTAACTATGAGAGCCTCGAATGGCTGTGAGACCCTTCAGTGGCGCTAGGATATACATGTGTCATATGCCACATTCCTCAGGCCTGAGGCCTGGTGCTGCTCCCCTGCAATGATGGGGGTGTCTGGGGACTTGGGGCAGGGTCTAAGCGAAGCTGACATCAGCAGCAATCCCCTGACTGCTTCAGTTGGGGGTGGAAGATGTGCCATAAGTGTATAGGTGAAAGGGCAGGTGTGTGGGGCAGGACGATCCCATAGGCTGTGCCTGGTGAGGTGCTGGCAGGGTGCCCCAGGGTTAATGCAGTGGCCTGGACCCCCAGGGGAGGTATAGGGGCTGCTTCCTCCCCAGCCCTGCATGAAATGGCTGGAGTGGGGGCGTCCTCACCCAGCAGTGGATTCCTGGGGCTCTCCTGCAGTCAGGAGATGCCAGAGGACTAGTGGTGGGATTCCTGGGTAGGGGTCAGGGAGGGCCTGTCTGTCCAGGAGCCCCTGGTTCTGATTTGGGTGTTGCCTTGGTTCTTGCCTTCCTTGCCCGGTGGATGGGAGGAGCCAGTAGCCTGTCTCTAAGACCTGGGGATCCTATTTTAATCCCTCTCCCTGCTGACATCCTGATGAATAATTGAGCAGGCTAATTACACTGCACCATAGCCTTCCCGGGGCGCCAGCCTGTTCCTTAAGTAGGCTCTAGCGAGTGCAGAGGGGCCGGTAATGAGCTAACAGTAGTGGCTTAGCCCCTTCCACGCCCCTCCACAGCAGGCAGATGGGGTCCCACCCTCACCCCTTCCACTCCTCCCCTGCAGTACCCCTTCCAGCCTCACCCGTGTCACGGTGGTCCTGATGGTGGCTGCGGGCGATACTGCCGTCCTGGGCACTGAGGGCGGCAGTGTCTTCTTCCTGAACGTTACTACCTTGACGCTGCTCGAGGGGCAGACCCTCAGCCCAGACGAGGTTCTGCGAAGGTGAGGGGCAGACGGGTTTTCCAGCACCCCCTCTGTGCCCGGGAAGTCCTGCTGGTTCACCTGAGTTCCTCTGCAGCGTGCCAGATGAGTGCCGGTGCGGAAAGGCACTGGGCCCCGTGGAGTCGCTCCAAGGACACCTGCAGGAGCCCACCAAGATCCTCGTTGGCTACAGCCGGGGTCTGCTGGTTATCTGGAACCAGGCCACACAGTGTGTGGACCATGTCTTCCTGGGTAACCAGGTACGTGGGTGAGGCCCCCATCCCTCAGCCTGGGTCCCCTGCGTAGGCCCACATGGCTCACGCCCACTTGCCCCTGCCCACAGCAGCTGGAGAGCCTGTGCTGGGGGCGTGGTGGAGGCACCATTGTCAGTTCGCACAGTGATGGCAGCTATGCCATCTGGTCCATGGACGCTGGCAGCTCCCTGACGCTGCAGCCCACGGTAGCCACCACACCCTACGGTGAGTACTAGAGAGGCCTGAGCTGGAGGGTGGTGATGGGAGGGCTGCCTGGCCTTGCTGGGGGTCACTGCCCTGCAGAACCATATCTGTAAAGGGGGGGCTCCCCTGGGGGACATGGTCAGGGGTAGGGGACCTTCCCCTGGGGGATGCAGGAGGCAGCTGTGAGGTGGAGCACAATGGAGGGCAGATCAGGCTGGGAGAAGTAGTGAGAGATGCAAGCGGGTCGGGTCTGACTCTGTCCCACCTCCCAGGCCCCTTTCCCTGCAAGGCCATCAACAAGATTCTGTGGCGGAACTGTGAATCTGGGTAGGTTGGGGAGCGGTGTCTGGCGTGGGTCAGGCTGGAAGGGCGGGGTCTGGGTGCACGGGCAAAGCTCTCCTTGGGTCGTGTAGTGTGTTGTGGGCCAGGTGGCTCCTGGCTCACTGCCCCCGCCCCCCATACAGGGGCCACTTTATCATCTTTAGTGGTGGCATGCCCCGTGCCAGCTATGGCGACCGCCACTGTGTGAGTGTGCTGCAGGCGGAGACACTGGTGACTCTGGACTTCACCTCCCGCATCATTGACTTCTTCACGGTGCACAGCACGCGGCCTGAAGATGGTGCGTGCCTGGCCACCCCCTCCCCCACCTTGTGTCCTGTGCTGCCTGTGGCCATGCTCACCCCATCCTGCTGTCCCACAGAATTCGATGACCCCCAGGCCCTGGCTGTGCTGCTGGAAGAGGAGCTGGTGGTGCTTGACCTGCAGACGCCTGGCTGGCCGGCCGTGCCTGCCCCGTACCTGGCCCCACTGCACTCGTCTGCTATCACCTGCTCAGCCCATGTTGCCAACGTCCCCGCCAAGCTGTGGGCCCGCATTGTGAGCGCTGGAGAGCAGCAGAGCCCCCAGCCTGGCTCCAGCACCTCGGTGTGTGTTGGGGGCATTCTGTAGGGTGGGTTTTGGGGTGGGAGGGTGTTCCTGGTACAGGCCCAGGCTTAGAGGTGGGAATGTGCTGGGTGTATGTGGGGAACTCTGAGGCATTTGGTGTCCTGGATGCCATGCCCAGGGTGAGAGGGAGAAGACATTTGTACTAACTTTGTGTTCACATCTCCACTGCCCTTTCCCAGAGCTGGCCCATCACTGGGGGCCGGAACCTGGCACAGGAGCCATCGCAGCGAGGGCTGCTGCTGACCGGGTAGGGCAGATGCAGCTGTGACGTGCGTGCATGTGTGCTTGTGTGCGTATGTAGGCAAGGAGACCCTGCACCTATCAGGCCTGGTATGCCCATTGCAGTGTGGGAGAGCCTGTCCTGGGTCTGGCAGGCCCTCATGTGCTGAGTGACTGAGGCCTGGCCCCTCGCGGGACTGGATCACCCCACTTCGCCTGGGTTGGATTGAGATGAGCCTCCCTAGACCCTGGTTCAAGGCCCCGCCCTGCTTTGCCTCCAGCAAACTAAGCTCCAGCAAACCCCAGGGCTCCACCCACCCAGCCTGCCTGCCCTGGGACCGGAAAATCTGGGCTGGCCCACGCCAAGCTGCCCAAGGCAGGTGCTGGAGAGCCCGACCTGGGCCTGACGGGCGCTGACATGCCCGGTGACTCAGGCCCCAGCTTCCTGCCTTGCCCCTCCCTCCCGCCTGTGCTGGGACCCTCGGGCCTCTGACTCCAGCATGCCCTCCCCTGCTTAAGAACTTGCTGTGGCTTTTTACATCTGTTGGAGTGAGTCTTAGCCCCACAGACTCATACACCTCATGCCCTCGCCGTGGGCTCCCACCACTGCCAGGGGCCAACACATGGGCTCTGCAGCTGGGTCCTAGGGCTATGCCCTAGATTTGTCTACTTCCCTCTTCTCTCACTTCCTCCCTATCTCCCTAGTCTTCCTGCTGCTCCCCCAGCAGGGCCTCAGGCCCCAGCTGGTCCCTGCTGGCATGCCCTGCTTTCTGCTCTGTGACTACCTAGCTCCTGGTCACTTTGCTGGGTGCTCCCAATGGGGACAGACCTCCATAGTGCTCTGTTCCCTGTGTTTCCACCTCTGCCATCTCCTGTTCACCAGGGTGGTCATTTTCACACCTTCCCACCGTGTTTGAAGGGCCCTGGTGCATGTGGCGCATGTGGCCTGGCATGTAGTAGATGCTCATTACATGTGTGTCCTGTACAGTAGGTGCTTGCTGGTTGTTGTATGCAGTAGGATCTAAGTCAGTGTTTGGCATATGCAGTAGGTGCTCAGTAAGTGGCCAGTGGATGGGTGGACAGAGGGGTGTGCAGGCCTCCCAGGAACCCAGGGGTGAACCTGATGTCCACCCTCCCTGCAGCCACGAGGATGGCACCGTACGGTTCTGGGATGCCTCGGGTGTGGCACTGCGACCGCTCTATAAGCTGAACACGGCTGGCCTCTTCCAGACAGACTGTGAGCACGCCGACAGCCTAGCCCAGGCTGCTGAGGACGACTGGCCACCCTTCCGCAAGGTGGGCCCCCCTCCCCTGGCCCCAAGGAGCCCATCCTGGCTCTGCCTAAAATCATCACTCTGTCCCATCCCCCCAGGTGGGCTGCTTCGACCCCTACAGTGATGATCCCCGGCTCGGAGTGCAGAAGGTTGCCCTCTGCAAGTACACAGCCCAGATGGTGGTGGCTGGCACTGCAGGCCAGGTAGGGCTGGGTGTCCCCCAGGTTGGGAATGTCAGGGAGGGCTTTCTGGAGGAGATGAGCTGAAATGGAGGATCTGGTGGAAGGGTAGAGGGACTGGCACAGGCAAAAGCCAGAGATGGGAATGGGGCTCCAGGGGAGGCTGGCTGGGGTGAGGACAGATGGGAAGTGGGCCTGTCGCTGGAAGTCTCAAATCAGGCTCGGGCTGGGGGAACCATGGGGGTTGGGCGCCAGGAGCAGGAACACAGGTGTTAGATGAGCTCTAGGAGGGCAAGGACCAGCGGGTCTTGGTCACTGCCATGCCCCTGGCACTTGCACAGTACACAGAAGGTGCTCAATGTGTGCTGAGTGCTAAGTGGAAGACAGAGGCTCAGGAAAGGTGGCTTCTTTGCTCCAGAAGGGCAGGGACCAACTGGGCTTGGTAACCACCATGTTCCTTGGTGCTCATTGAGGGCTGTGATATACAGTAGGCATTCGGTAAGTGCTTGTTCAGTAGATGAACTGATAACAATTATGAGGCCACCCTGGCAGTGGCTGGGGGGTTTATCAGAGGCTGCAGGCTGAGGTGGGGCCCAGGGGCGGCCTCTTCTCCGCACTGACCCTCCCCCACCCCCCGGGGGCTCAGGTGCTGGTGCTGGAGCTTAGCGACGTGCCGGAGGAGCAAGCGGTCAGCGTGGCCAGCGTGGACCTCCTCCAGGACCGCGAGGGCTTCACGTGGAAGGGCCACGAGCGGCTGAGCCCGCGCACAGGGCCACTGCTATGGCCTGTTGGCTTCCAGCCCCGCGTGCTGGTGCAGTGCCTGCCACCAGCTGCTGTCACAGCTGTCACACTCCACACCGAGTGGAGCCTTGTGGCCTTTGGCACCAGTCATGGTTTTGGCCTCTTTGACTACCAGCGGAAGAGCCCTGTGCTGGCCAGGTGCGTGGGGTTGGCGAGCAGCTAGAGCCCCAGTGAGATGGGGTCTGGGCCTCGGTTTCCCCTTCTAAAGTATGGAGTGGCAAAGGTGGGGTGATTTTTAAAGTCTTTTTAACCTCTGTTGCCCTGTAAGAAATAACCTGGCTCTTAATGAAGGACGTTCTAAGCACTGCCAGCTACCAAGTCCACGGGGCAGCACCAGAGGGGCTCTGGCTTCCTGACCTGAGCCCCTCGATGCCTGGCCTCTGGGGCCAGCAGGAGTGCGGTGTCTACTCCAGGAGGCTGCCCCATAACGTGACCAGCCCCTGCTGCCCCCAGGTGCACCCTTCACCCCAATGACTCCCTGGCCATGGAGGGTCCGCTGTCCCGGGTGAAGTCACTCAAGAAGTCACTGCGCCAGTCTTTCCGGCGCATCCGTAAGAGCCGTGTCTCAGGCAAGAAGCGGGCTGCTAATGCCAACAGTAAGGTGAGCTGGGGCAGGCTGCCTGGGCGCTGGGCTCTGGCCCTGACCCCGGCCCCTGGCATTGTTCACCTCATGGCAGTGGGCCCTCCGTATGAGCTGGGCAAGTCAAGAAAGTGAGGGATGGATGGTGATGGGACAGTGGCCCCCGGCAGAATGCAAGCAGCTGGGGTGCTGGGAAGATGGTGTTTAGGACACCCACCTCAACAGTTGCAGGAAGCCAATGCACAGCTGGCGGAGCAGGCCTGTCCCCACGACGTGGAGATGACGCCTGTGCAGCGCCGTATTGAGCCCCGCTCTGCCGATGACTCCCTCTCAGGTGTTGTGCGCTGCCTCTATTTCGCAGACACCTTCCTTCGAGATGGTGAGGCCAGGACAGGGACAGGGTGGGGAGGTCGCCTCCGTTGGCCATCCAAAAAATGGGGGGTGGGGGGGTGGGACTGCTCCCTCCAAGAGGTTTGCAAGTGTTACTGAGCACCCGACCCACTGCGTGCCAGCTCTGGTGACCAGGCTTCCCTGGCTCCCAGGTGGAAGGATGCTGAGGGGTTGGTGAGTGAGTTGCGGCCTCAGACCTGAGCAAGGAGAAGGGACCAAGGCCTAGTAGATGACCAGGAGGGACAGTGGCCAGTGCCTAGGTCTTGAGGTGGGCATGGGGCCTGGCTTTGACCCTGGGTAGCTTGGGAGCCTCGAAAAGGTCCTGGGTGTATTGATTGGTTCATTGATCAATTTTTAAATTGTATGATGAAGAATTCGAACGCAAAAATAGAGGGGCATACAGTTGACCCATGCATCTTACTGCTGCCACCAGCCATCTGCTGCCACGACCCTGTCTCCACCCCACACTGCTGTTTTTTATCTTGCTGGAGTATCTTGAATGAAAGCCCAGGCCTGAGCACTTCATTCAGTATGTCTCTGACAGATGTCACTGACAGCCACACTGCCCACATGGCACCTAATTCCTGAGTCTCATCTTAGACTGAGTCGTGGGTCCTCCTTCCTGATGACATTTATTTATGGAGGGGCTTTGTTGGGTAGATTTTCCCACTGCCCAGATGTGGCTGATGTAACCAGGGATGGTTCAGCTTGTTCTGCCATCCCTGTGAGGAGGCTGGTGGGGTTCAGGGTCACAGCTGGCTGGGGCTCCTGCCTCAGCCTTGTCAAGCTTTGAGTGGCTCAGTCACTTTTCACCTTGGGGCTTTTGCTTAGGTCCATCGATTCATCAAGGGTGCAAAGTGGTGAATGCGTGAGTCCTTGTTTAGCTCTGATCCTGTTCCCCAGAGGTTTGGTTCACACAGGCAGAGCAGCACTGATGGGCGGGCGTCAGGCGAGCCTCAGTTCATTTCACCGCAGGCTCAGGGCTTCCATGTTGAAAGGCTCCCTCTGGCTGCCCCATGGGGTTCACTGAAGAGGGTGGGGGTGAGGCAGGGGCTGGAACCAGGGCACAGCTGTGGGGTGAGGCCTGATTGCCAGTCTGTCCACAGGACTAGTGACAGCACATCAGGGGTGAGAGAGGAGTCGGGGGCTTGCCGGTTTGGGGCTGAGTGATGGGAAGTTGTGGCTGAGTGACAGGAAGTTGGAGCTGCAATGACAGGGTGGGGCTGGAGGGGTCAGGGTCCGGTGGGTGCCCACTGACATCCCGTGCAGATGCCCTCCAGGCCATGCCTGCTTCTGCAGAAGGCCTGCATCCAGTCTCGAACTGGAGCCGGTAGCAAAGAGCAGTGTTGGAGGCCATGAGGCTACTCAATCACTGGGGAGGCCTGAGTGAGCCACAGTGAACAAGTGGAGAGGCAGGAGAGGCAGAGAGACTGCAGGGGCCTTCAGGGAGTGCCTGCCTCACCAAGCCTGCACCCCGCAGCAGCCCACCACGGGCCCACCATGTGGGCAGGTACCAACTCGGGCTCCGTGTTTGCCTATGCACTGGAGGTGCCGGCAGCAGCAGTTGGCGTTGAGAAGCGGCCCGAGCGGCCAGTGGAGGCCGTGCTGGGCAAGGAGGTGCAGCTGATGCACCGGGCACCTGTGGTGGCCATCGCCGTGCTGGACGGGCGTGGCCGGCCACTGCCTGAGCCCTACGAGGCCTCGCGGGACCTGGCGCAGGCGCCCGACATGCAGGGCGGTCATGCCGTGCTCATCGCGTCTGAGGAGCAGTTCAAGGTAAGCTGCTGTGCCCTGCTCCCACCTCATGGATGCTGTGGACCCTCCAGAAGCCCTGCCCTGCTTACATTCCCTACCTGCTTAGTCTGTTCACGACCCTCCTGCCCAGTTGAAATGCTCCCAGCCAGCAGAGTCTACCCCTGCCCCCTACAGAACCCCCATGCCCCGTCAGTTTCCCCAAGACCCTCCTACCTCATTCCCCCATCATGGGGCTCCTGTATCCCACCAGAACTTCTTGCATTCCTCTCCTGCAGGAACTCGTGGTTTGGTGGGGATACCAGGCCACATAATATAAGGACCCTGTGTGGTTGATTTTGCCACCGATGGAGAGAGGCCTAGGAGGTCTCCAGGTTGAGTGCAGAAGATGACAGGGGGGCGGCCAGTTCAGAGGGGGGCGGCATGGCGCACAGAGAGAGGAAGCAGTGAGGGCGTAGGTTGGGACAGAGTCCTATGGGACAATGTGGGCCTTGTGGCTGGGGCTGGCAGTCAGCAGTCGTGAGGGTGAGGGGCCCCGGAGTGAGGACAGGGCCGGGCTCTGTGCTCATTGTCTGCCTGTCGCCAGGTGTTCACACTGCCCAAAGTGAGTGCCAAGACCAAGTTCAAGCTGACGGCCCACGAGGGCTGTCGTGTGCGCAAGGTGGCACTGGCCACATTTGCCAGCGTGGCCTGTGAGGACTATGCCGAGACCTGCCTGGCCTGCCTCACTAACCTGGGTGACGTCCATGTCTTCTCCGTGCCTGGCCTGCGGCCCCAGGTGCACTACTCCTGTATCCGGAAGGAGGACATCAGCGGCATCGCCTCGTGTGTCTTTACACGCCACGGCCAGGGTGAGGCAGCAGGGGCATTTAGGAAGGCTTCCCCAGGCAAGGGATCTAAGTGGGGCCAGAAGAATTGCCTGGGGGTGGTCAGCAGAAAGGCCATTCCAGGTGGGACACAGGCCCAGCCAGCACATGCCAAGGAGGGGACCGCTGAGGGGCTGTGGTTGGTATCGTCTCCTGACCACATTTCTCACTCCTCTCCTGCCAACCCACCCAGGCTTTTATCTGATTTCTCCGTCGGAATTTGAACGCTTCTCTCTAAGTGCCCGGAACATCACAGAGCCACTTTGCTCTCTGGACATCAGCTGGCCCCGTGATGCCACCCAGGCCAGGTGTGTGGAGGGGCAAGTCACTGGCCTGTGGGTCCTGTGACTGGGGCCAGGTCTCATCCCACCCCAGGGTCTGCCCTCACTGGTGTAGCTCCTGTCTGTTCTCTGGACTTGGGAGTGGGAAGGCGGAGATCGAGCCCTCCAGCCTCAAGGTACCTGCCTGTGGTCCCCATCACATCCCCATATCTGCAGCTACAGGCTCCAAGAGTCGCCCAAGCTGAGCCAGGCTAACGGGACCCCGAGCATCATCCTGGCCCCGCAGAGCCACGATGGAAGCCCCGATCCTGCCCACAGCAAGGGAGCTGGTGAGGGGTCGCAAAATGGAGGCAGGCTCCGGCCCAATAGTGTCCTGGGGGCGGAGTCAGGACATGATACCAACACAGCTCAGTGTGGGGACCTCTGCAGGAGGTCACAGCTTAGCCAGGGCTGGAAGCCAGGCAGAAGAATGGGTGTGTGTGTGCCTGTTGGTCTGTGTCCCAGGTCCCCAGGTGCAGAGGGTGTGCCAAGGGGTCCTGGTAGAGGCTGATTACTTCCTCCCTGCAGACACCCCAGAGCCACCTGAGGCCATACTCTCACCCACATCTATCGACTCGGCCACAAGTGCTGACACCACGCTGGACACAACAGGGGACGTCACGGTGGAGGATGTGAAGGATTTCCTGGGGTGAGGCTGGTGGGCAGGTCTACAGACGGACTGCCCATCTTCCTGGCCTCCCTCCCCAGGGCCTCCAGGGGCTCCCCCCGTCTCTCCCCTTCTGATCAGCCATTCCATCCTCCAGCTCTTCTGAGGAATCTGAGAAGAATCTGAGAAACCTTGCAGAAGACGAGGCCCGGGCCTGCACCATCCTGATCAAATGAGGTGCTGCAGGGTGGGCCCCTGGTGTACCTGGTCTTCACCACTCCACAGCGCCAACCCCTTGGGCCCCCTGTCTGGGCCCCCCAGGACTTCCCCCTGCCCTGGTCTTGCACATGGAACCCTGGCAGGCCTCTGTGATGGTGGCACTCCCTGAAGCCTGGCTGCCTTTCATGGAGTGTCCCCATGAGGGGCTTTAGGGGCTCATATAGGCATAATTTTTTTTTTTTTTTTTTTTTAAAAGATGACCGGTAAGGGGATCTTAACCCTTGACTTGGTGTTGTCAGCACCACGCTCAGCCAGTGAGCGAACCGGCCATCCCTATATGGGATCCGAACCCGGGGCCTTGGTGCCATCAGCACCGCACTCTCCCGAGTGAGCCACTGGGCCGGCCCTACAGCAAATTTAATTTAAACCTCATTTGGCTTTATTGTGATTCTACAGTCGGGAAACACTTCATACTATAAAATAGAATAAGTGTTCCAATGAACCAAGCAGAGGCGGTCCCTTGACTTGGTGTTGTCAGCACCACGCTCAGCCAGTGAGCGAACCGGCCATCCCTATATGGGATCCGAACCCGGGGCCTTGGTGTTATCAGCACCGCACTCTCCCGAGTGAGCCACGGGCCGGCCCTAGGCATAATTTTCATAATTATTAGAAAGGCAGACCAGCCCATCAGCCTTTGGATGTCATGGGTGGTATTTGGAACAAGACCAGATCAAACCATTTAGAGATGGCAGCAGTTTGGGGCTCAGGTGCTGGTTTGGCCAGCCTATTTCATAGGTGAGGTCACTGAGGTGCAGGTTGAGCCCAGCACATTGAGTGTGGCCAAGGCTGACTGGCCCCTGCCCGTCTCAGTGTGGACCTCTGCTTAGATCTGGGGTGTGTCTGGGGCCTGTGGATCTGCCCAGCATGTTTGTCCCCTAGTGCCTCCAGTCCCCTAAATGTAGGCCACAGCCTTGCTCTACACTGGACAAACACCCCCAACTCACTGTTCGTCTGGTGCTGGGTCACCACTGCCCTGCTCTGGCTTCCGTAGGTCATATGTGGTCCAGCACTTGGGTACCCGGCCTACAGACTCAGCAAACCCATCTCAGGCTGTCAGTTAAGGGCCCTTGCCTGCTCTGCAGAGGAGGCTGAGTGGTGGCATCTGTGTGGCCTAGTCTGGACTGCTGGGCTGCCTTGGACAGTCCACCTGTCTGGGCCTCTCTTACCTTCTGCTCATCCCTCTTTTCTCCCTCTACCAGGAAGGCCAGAACTCCCAACCACCACTTGTCCTGCTTGCAGCTGGGGTCCTGGATCCCTGGCTCCTGCCTGGCCCCTTAACACAGACTGACACCTGCTAACCTGTGGGCTCCGGTGGGCCCTGCCGTCCTCTCCGTGCCAACCCTGGGCCCCGGAGTAGTGCACTTGGGGGCACTCAAGCACTTGGCCCAGGCAGCTTGAGTCCTCCAGGCAGTTAGCTACGCTGGGGGCTTGCTGCCCAGGGAAGGTGACAGGTGGGACTGGGTGGCCCATGCCACCTCCCATTCCACACACCATCCTTTCCCCTCCCTTTGCAAAGAGTATTTTTCTAATGCTGGGGCTGGACAGTCATTTCTAGAACTATTTTGGTATTTGCTCCTGGACCAGCTCCCCCCTACCCCCAGCCTGTGCATGAGTGCACACATGAGAGTGTGTGTAACTGGGATCTCCACTGCACACCCGCAATTGGGGCTCAGTCAGGTGTGTGTATGGGGGGGGGGGGTTCAGGATGGGTTTCCCTGTAGATTGTACCTTGGGGTTCTTTTCTGTCATTTTGTTAAAATTAGCACTGTTTTAATATTAAAATGCTGATTTTTAATATTGAAAATAAAAGCATTTAATATCTCTTAAAGGGCAACTATATCTGCTTTATCCCTGGCAGGAGAAGGGGCTTCACACGTGTGCACACATTGTGGAGGGAGTCCAACTTTGCAGACCCCCTCAGGGTAAAATAAAAGCATTTAATATCTCTTAAAGGGCAACTATATCTGCTTTATCCCTGGCAGGAGAAGGGGCTTCACACGTGTGCACACACTGTGGAGGGAGTCCAACTTTGCAGACCCCCTGAGGGTACCCATCAGGGTCACCCCCATCGGTGCTGCTCGGGGCTGTGTGCTGCTGGGGACCGTAGCACTGAGGTTGGCCGGAGCAGGGACTGTTTCCTGCACACATTTTCTGCTTGCAGGTGGTGGACAGAGGGCCCCTTCCTCTTCCTCACTTGGGGCCGCGACAGGGGCACTACCCTAGGCCAGGGCCTTGCGGAAGGCACCCCAGGCGTGGAAGCAGCGTGTGAAGGCGTGTTGCTCATTGCCCTTGCGGACCAGGCGCAGGCGGCGGGGCTGCTCATGCTCTTTAGATCGCAGGTGCTGGATGTACACCTGGAGGGCAAGGACAGTGAGCAGCAGGTGACTTTCCACACCTGGTGGCCCAGCCTCAGCCTCAGCCTCCCCTCCCGGCTCACCTGGCAGGCCTTCAGACTTAGTTTGATCTCCACCTGGCTTGTCTGGGTTCCCACCCACATGTACACCTGTGGGGACACGGGAGATGGCAACATGGGTGACTCAAGAACACTCCCCTTCTTCTGGTCCCAGAACTCCCATTTACAAATGGGAGCACTCCTCCTTGAATAGGCAGGATCAGTGTGTGTGTGGAGGGAGGGGTTTACCTCTTGGCCATTGTCTAGCAACATGATGTCATCATCTGCCAGGTCATCTTGGCAAAAGTCACAGCACTTCTCAGTCACTGCGAAGTAGCCCTTTTCGTTGGAGCACCTGGGTGTCAAGGTGAGGCTGAGTCACAAGCTGCAAGGCCAGGACTGAGGAGGAAGCTGGGGGAGGGTTCAGGGCCCTGGCCCTCACCGGAAGAGCCGAGTGTGCTTCATGTATTCGGCGTCATCGTCATAAGGCTTCTGTGCTCCAATGCCCACCCAGAAGAAGTTCTCTGGCTCCTCGCCTTCGTTGATGACCTGGGGGAAAAGGGCCAGTCCAGCCCCAGGCCCCTGCCTGCCCTGGCTCACCTACCAGTTCACCCACCCACCACGGTCACCTGCTTGCTGTAGGAGGCATCAAACATGGTGTTCAGGATATCTTCTGCCAGCTTGGCTTCATCAGGGTCTGATGCCCGGCCCACCCAGGCATACACAATGCCTTGGTTGTCCTCACTCTCAAAAGGAACCTAGGGAGCGTGCAGGGGGTTCGGATCAGCTCCAGCCCCATCCCACCACCGTGATCCACCCTTCCAGCTTGCACCCACACCCCACCTTGAGGATGAAGCAGAACTCAGAGTTCAGGAGGCTGGAGTCAGTGTTGATCTGGATGCACCTAGGGGAGGGGTGGGGTGTCAGCAGGGAGTCAGGACCTGCTCCCTGACCCTGCCTGCCACCGCATACCCCCCAGCCAGGCACCGGGTGCAGAAGGCACTGCCGTTGGTACGAATCTGGTAGAGGCTCGGTTGCAAGGTGCCCTGGGCTGCCTTCCTCTTGCCTCGGTGGATGATAAACTTTCTCTTGAAATGGGACAGAAACTTGGGGTTCTCCTGCTGCTGCGTCATGCGTACCACCTGGAGGCGTGGAAGGGTCAGAGTCTGAGGGCCCAGTCTTTCCTGGGTCCCACCACACCCCTGCACCACTTCGGGGGTGTGGCCTGAGCTCGTGGGGCGTGGCCAGCGCACCTCCAGCTTGCCGGGGAAGAGGCTCTCGAACTTCTTCTGCAGGCTGAAGGTGAAGGTGAGCCAGCCCATGTTGGAGGCCTCACGGCCCTGCCAGAAGTACACGATGCACTGGAAGTCCTCCTCGGGCTGCTTCTCCTCTGCCTCGGCCGCTGTCTCTTCGCATTCTTTACCCTCGGACCCGGTCTTCTCCTCCTTGTCTTCCTTTTTCTCCTCCTCCTCGTATTCCACGGGTACCCAGTACCTGCGGGGTTGGAGGGCTGTGAGCGGGGAAGGGGGGGCAGCCCCAGGGTTGGGGCTCAGGAAGGAGAGGCGTGCTGGCAGCACCTGCAGAGGAAGACGTAGCAGTCCTGAGTGTAGAAGTGGCCGAACTCCTCCTCGGGCAGCCGCGCGAACTTCTTGCCCTCCAGCACGAAGCCCTCCATACCGTCCAGGTCCTCGTTCCATTCCTCCATCAGCTGCTCCGCCTGCAGGCGGCAGGGACGCGCCGGCTCAGGGCACAGGCCCCGCCCCGCCCCGGGCCCCGCCCCCAGGCTCCACCCCGCCCCCAGACCTCGGCCAGCGCCATGGACGGCTGCCGCGGCAGGAAGAGCGCGGTGAGGTCCGCCTTCATCTGGTCTTTCTTCTCGGCGTCGCGCTTCACCTTCCCCGACAGGCCCGGGCTCTGCAGCACGGCCTCCGCGTTGCGCGTGTAGTCCACCGTCAACACGTCGTCCCAGTTCTTGAACTTGGCCTTGAACACCTGCAGGGGAGGGGGAAGCCATGAACTAGACAGGGGTCACGCAAGGTGAAGGTTAGGGCCCGAGGAGGTGGAGCCAAGCCTGAGGTAGAGGGGCGGGGCCTGGAGGGTGTGGTGTGGGGCGGGGCCTGCGGCGGGTCTAGGAAGCAGAAGTGGGAAGGGAGGTTGCAGAGGGGGCGGTTCCTCAGAGAGGCAGCAGGCTTGGGCCCAGCCCGGTAGGGCAGGAACCGAACCAGAGGATCAGGGCACAACAGGGTCTGCAGATCCGTGGGGAAGCGGCTCCGGAGCAGGGATCGCACCTGCGCCTCGGTGCCTTCCAGGCATCGGCTGACCGTGGCGTGGCGTGGCCGGTGCATCATTCCGCACAGCTCCTGGCCCAGCTTGAGCGCAGCGGCGCGCACCAGGCGCGGGGACTTGCGGCCGAGCCAGATGAACACGTCGGACCAACAGTCTAGGATGTACACGCACCGCGTGTCCAGCAGGCTCTGCAGCTGCGGGATCAGAAGCTGGGAGTCAAGGCCTGGCCATCGGGGAGGGACCCTGGCTCCCGCGCCCTCCTCCCGCGCATCTCACCAGCCGCATGCCTGGCGTCAGCTCCACCTTGGGCCGCTTCTTATGTTCCACGGACAGCCTGTAGTTGATCTGCGGCAGCTCCAGGTAGCCCAGGCCCAGGCCCACCTGGCAGGAAGAAGAGATAGATAGGCACGACAGAGGTGGGGTCTGGGGACAGCAGCCTTACCCACAAGAGCCACCTGATTTGGAGTCTGGCCCCTGCCCTAGTGAGGCTCACTGCCCGCTCCTCTCTGGACCTGTTTCTTGCTTTCACCCTGAGGTCGTTTTAAGGACATCCTATCAGTGCAAAGACTCTTAAATGGTGCTTTCCCTGCCTGCCTTTTCCAGGTCCTTACTGTCATTTCTAATTCTCTAATTTGTCCCTTTCCTGCTCACAAGACCCCATGGCTTCAGGTCACCCACAGAATTAAGGCCAGGTTCCCAGCCCTTTGGCACCCAGGCACTTCTGAGACCCTCTCCAGCTGCACCTTCATGGAAACACATGCACTCACACTATTTCTCTTTTTTTTTTTTTTTTTTTTTTTTTCCCACACTATTTCTCAAAGCCAGCCTCCAGACCTTTGCTGAGGCTGTTCCTTGCCCAGAAGGTGGCACCATCTCCACACCAAAGTCCAGATGGAGCCCACAGCCACCACAGTGCTGCCTAACCCATCCCCCAACCAGCTGGTAAAGTCAGGCTGGCCCTGCACCTCGACATCACCGCTCACCTTGTACAGCTTGGGCTGGGGTGGCCAGAAGTCATCAGGCACGTGCCTCTTGATCTCAGAGGGCTCCCCGCCCATCACCTCCCAGAACTCTGGGGGCTCCTGGCCCTGCACCAGCAGTGTGATCTCCGCCTTCCCTTTGCGATCGTTCTTATTAATTTTCTCTGCAAAGAGCCTGAGGGCAGGATACAAAGTCCTCATTAAGGCCTGCACTCCTTCTTAGGTGACGACTTTCCCTTGCACAAAACCCCCCACGACATCCTTGTACCTGGCTTTGGTGGTGCTACTCAGCGTGGCCTGGGCCCCTCGCCACACATAGATATCCAGGCCTCGGTCCAGCAGGAAAACAAACCTGGACAGCAGGGGGCAGGAAGGAGCTGTTACGGGCATGGGTCAACGACTGACCTCACCAAAAAAAAAAAAAAAACCCTCATTATGGGATTTTTGCTCTCCTTTCTGCGTAGGCCTCAGGGACCTTCCACCAAACTCTGTGAGACTGGAGTTTAAAGGGTTGCTAGAGGGCCTCATGCACGAGGCCCAAACCAGCCCCACTAGCGGGGAGCAGGCTGAGGGTCAGGTACCCCCACCTCACATCACAGGAACTCACCCTGGGTCCAGGGAGGCCCCCTTGAGGGGCACAGGCTCCAACTTGATGTTCTTTTTCCCATACACACGGTACATCCTGGGGGCCAGGGCAGAGTGGCTCAGTGTGAGCATCAAAGGGCGGATTTACCCCGAACAGCCTCCTTCCAACCCTTCCCAGCAGAGTCCAGGTCAGTGCCACCCACCCCACACACACCCTCACCTGGTGACATAGTGCGTATCCTCTACAGTGTAGAAGCCACTGGCTGTGCCACCCTCAATGTAGGAGATGTCGTTGTCAAACACCTGTGTGAGGGTGTGGCTCTTCATCATTGAGCTGCCCCCCCCCCAACCACCTGTCGGGCATGGTACACAGTTGCTACAGGTGAATCGGGTGCTACTAATCCATGATGATGTCAAAAAAAAAAATTAAGACCTTTGCCTATAATAGCACACATGGGGTGTTGGAACATACGAAGATTGGAGTACGTTCACTCGGGTGCACAGAGATGCGTGCAGCGTGTTTAGGCATGTGTGTATCAGGGTACAGGAGCAAGCGGGTTTATGGAAAAACGCAAACGGGTGAATCTGGGTAAAATTGCAGGGGGCATATGTGTCTATGCATAACTAGCTGGCAGGGCAGGCTGCTTGCTAACCCAACTCAGGGGTTTATTCAAGACTGTACCCCATC